CCCACAGACGAAGAGCCGCACCACCGCCCCCAGCACCAGCGCCGTGTTCAGTGCCCAGAAGGCCAGTGTGGGCCACAGCCACTGGGACCACCCCCATGGCTCCTCTGCACAGGGAAGGAGTCAGTACTCTCCTGCTACCTCACTGCTGCCACCCTGCACCCAACCCAGGGTCTCCATCCCAGTGGCCTTCACCCCATGCCCACCCAAAGATTCTCCACCCAAAGGTGTCCAACCCAACGGCCTCTGCCCCACGTCCACCCCAGGGTCTTCGTCCTGGTTGCCTTCACTCTGTGCCCACCTCAGCAGCCTACACCCAGTGGCCTCTGCCCTACGTCTAGCCCAGCATCTTCTATCCCAATCATCTCCCATCTCAGACCTACCCTGAGATCCACATCCCAATGGCCTTCACCCAATGTCCACCGTGACCACCCCACTCTGATGGTCTTCACTTTGATGACCTCCATACCAACAGCCTTCACCTCGCGCCCACCCCAACAGCTTCAACTCAGATATCCCCTATCACACACCCACCCCAACATCCTGCACTCCGATGGTCATCATCTCAACAACTTCTAGCCTGTGCCCACCCCAACAGCCTCCATCCCTAAGGTCTTCACCCCACACCCACCCTGACAGCCTCCACCCCACACCCAGCCCAACAACCTCCATCCCAGTGGCCTCCACCCTGTGCCCAGCCCAACAGAATCTATCCAAACATTCCCCACCCCAAGATCCTCCACCCCATGTCAGAGCTTACCCACAGTGCCAGACTCAGCCATGATGCTCCTGCCAGGACCAGTGGTGTCTGGGCTTCCCAGAGGGGCTGGGGCACTGGAGCCCCGAAGGAGGGAGGCCAAGGGGTTAAAGGAGAGGCAGAGGAAGACAAAGGTGCAGAGAGCCATGCGGGAGCGATCCAGCATGCCCTGGCTGCTGGGCGAGGGTGGTGGGTGCTCCTGCTTCACCTGCACAGGCAGAACTGCTGTGAGCCTGGGACACTGGGACAGACATAGGGTGATGGGGCATGGGATATTGGGCATTGGCTATAGTGCAGAGGCACAGGATATAGGGCACGGAGTACAGGGCAATAGGGCATTGTGATGAGGCATGGGTATGGGATATACGGCATGGGGTGCAGGGCATGGTGATGAGGCACAGGTTTGGCATACAAGGAAGGGCACAGGGATGAATTTTGGGGTGTAGGCATGAGGCACACTTTTTGGAGTTCAGAGGATGCGGTGCAGCCCAATGCACCCCAAAATGCCCCCACAACCCTCCCTCCTGCCTCAAATCAGGTGAGGAGCAGCCTCAGAGAGCAAGGCCATGGCTCTCAGATCCCTTCCCCACACTGGCATCTGGCACACTTCGCTCTTGGCACCCCGTCATGAAGCAGCAGATCCCCTGCCCTACTCAGGGGATGCCCCCACAGCCCCCCTCACCTTGCCATGGTCACAGAGGGGACTATCAGGCTCTGAGTCGCTGCTGTTGCTGCTGCTGCCACCACTGAGCGAGGGTGGGCTGCTGTGGGATGGTGAGCCCACATCCGAGGGTGGCGGTGTCAGCATCTCCATCACCTCTGCCTTCACCACCTCCATGGGGGCCTCTGCTTTGGTCCCCCTGCTGCAGTAGGTCCCCAGGTCCTTCAGGGGCTCTGCAGGAAGTAGAGCAAGCTGAGGGGTGCTGGGGGGCACAGAGTTGAGACCCCCACCCCAACACCTGCCCTTCCACTCACGGTTCTTCTGCGCAGCCATCTTCAGGGCAAGGTTCTCCTGCTTCAGCTTCTGGTTGCTCTGCTGCAGGAAGCGGATGTACTCGATGGCTTTCCTCAGGATCGCCGACTTGTTGAGCTGCCAGCGGGCAGGGAGAGCTCAACCCAAATGCTGGGTGAAGCCCTCCCAATGCCCACCCCTGCCCCACTCTCCCTGCACTCCCACCTTGGCCTCAGTGCCCACCACCAGGTCCTTGAGCTCCACGATCTTATCATTGATGGAGGAGCGGTAGCGCTTCTCGATGGCGTTGTGCGCCGTGCGCTTCTCTCCCCGGCTCTGCACCAGTGCTGGTTTCCCACTGGGTGCCAGCCGGTTGATGGGCAGCTTCTCCGCATCCACCACCAGTGGCACCGTGGCCAGGATGGTCCCTCCACTCACCAGTGCCTGCAGGGAGGCAGGATGGCATCAGTGAGGGTCCTGGAGCATCCCCCCAACCCAGAGCTCACAGCAGTGGGACC